GTTTCATCCATATTGTAGACATTCTCAGGTATTACAGCTGGGTCTTAAAGTACAGTGCTAATCACCTTGAACCAGTGGACGACCTTATTATAGATATCATACCGGTCCCAGTCCAGTGTCCTCATTCTTCTGGCCTTGACTTCTGGATGACATTTCTCAAAAGCCTGAGCCCAGTTTTTGCCTGGAGGCTTCTGCAGTTTATTCATGGGACACTGGCAGGCGATGCTAAAGGCTAACGAAGGAATATGCTTTATTCGTACGCGTTGTCCAAATTTGCCAAGTTACAATATAAAATTTATAACAGCTTTCTCTTCATATAGGTTGAGATATTGTTGGCTCTGGTTCTTAACCGCTTTCGGGCATTGGCCGTGTGCACGATAATAGAGGGTCGTATAAGGGACTTCGCCATATTCTGCTCGGGCACGGTATGTATCGCGCACGCCAGGAGGTAACTCTTGCGCCAGGACCTGGCTGGCTCTGTCCATGTTAGCTTATGGTAGTTATAGTGCTGTTCGGGAGAAACGAGCGAGAAGACATGCAGGCGTGAGGACACAGGTGGGATTGCGCTTGACCCTGACAGAGGGCCAACTTGTGGGCCTATCTATTTTTAGCTGTTCACGGTTCCTTTATTGTAAGGCATTGCTATACCGCAGTTGAAGTCAAGTCAAGCACTTGAAGAGATGCGGAAAACTGGATAAAGAAAATTTGAAACTTGAGATTGTCGAAGCAGGAATGCTTGATTGGGTTGAGCTGCAGGCACCAGGGACTGGTGCCCTGCAGGGTGCCTGAGCGTAACTTGATAACGTGGTTCACCACCAAGTCGTTACCTTAGTGCCTTGGGCCTTAAAATTTAGTGAAAGCCGCCTAAATTCTAGCGGGACCCCTGCTAAACTTAGGGGGGTATGCCGACTCGGTGAACCATGTTAATAAAAGAATATCCGTCACGTGCATTTACCATGTATGTGGATACGTCTTCGTATGGATGTTTTTATCACAATATAGATGTCCTGAACACCCTTTCAGAATCTAACTTGCTACAGATGTTGTTTCGGCTACTTGTATCGGCGGACCGATGTTGACCAGATTAATGTGATTCAAGTCGATTCGTTCAATACGAAGCCTTAGCGCCTTAGGCCTCACGATTTAGTCTGTGGCTGTGCTAACTGACCAGTGAAATCATGCTAAATAGGCAATTGCGCGCTTACGTTATATTATGCTAAGCGACTCATGTGTCTTCAATAAAAGTTTATGGAACCCGCATAAACAGAAATCTGTCCGTTGTTTGTGGTTCCTGAACGCGTGTGACAAACCACCTCATGGCCTGCCGCTCTATCTCTCAGCTTGCAAAGACATTGTGCTACTTGAACACAGATCGATACTGCGTGTCTTTAATGTGTATACACTACAGTTGAGATTTCCTTACATCACTACGTTGACGCCATTCCACGTTTAGACCACCTGCTGAATGGAATCTCATCACGAGTTTCCCCACCAAGGATAAATCAATTCTTGAACTTGAAATTTGCAAACGGGCAAGAAGAGGTAGGTCTAATTCTTCTCTGTACTTATATTCTCACTAATATATCGTAGTTATTGTATCATCAAATCCTATCCCCAGTTATGCAAGCCAAAATGGATACGAGCAATGTACCCACACGTATTTTCATCATACTCCAAGACTCTAGCCCTCATTGGTCAAAGCCTGATTCTGAAGTAATTGGAGTGGCGCTTTCGCTCATTTCTCAGCAGAAGGTTTTGGGTTCAACAGGTTGCACCTTCACGGCGAACGAATACAAATTCATGGCGAAAGAGATATGGGGGGCTGTTACATTCTTTATATTCGATCTATCTAATGATAATTATAATCTGAACACTGCACATAAGGAAGGCGAGAATGACCTCCCGGTTGTCACGGTCAGACTCTCTAAAAGTAAGGAGACAGCTCGATATGAGGGCAAACCTTTACAGATGCAGGTCAACCAACAACTCCGACATATCCATGACAAAGTGGGCTATGGGTATGAGCCGCCTTTCTTTATTGATCATACTAATGGCAAAGTGCCGATATATCCCAATCCGCGCACCGCTGTGCGCTGTCCGCCTTCCACTCTTATTACCTCCTCCGCGTCGGTTGTATTGTAGAAAGATATTATGTGTCCAGAGGTGTTACAAGGCTATATGGCCCATACTTTGTCCGGATAACACTTACAGTTGAACCGTTAGTATAGGCCGCGTGTTGTATGTTAGGACAAGGAATTTTGCATTGGCGACCGATCTCTGCGTTGCATTCAGTGCAGATTTCTATCTCCCAGTGACACATTTCTGAGAATCAGTTAGCAAAGCCTTTTTTCAGATACGGGTTGATACTTTTGAAGAGTTCTTGATAGGCGTATAACTAGTTAAGTGTTCGTGTAATGTGTGTCTGTTCTAGGAGGAGCTAGAATTATGCCTACCCCGCACCACTGCACTGCCAATTCTGTAGTTAGCTTACCGTAGTTAACAACCCTGAGCTCCAGCACGTGATGTGAGAAAAATAACCGAGTTGAGTGGCGCTACGTCCTGTTCAAGTTGCCGAGGTAATATAGTTAGTATGTGTCTACTTCGTACCGTTCCTAACATTAATGTCGCACTTGAGTGCAGGGTGGGATGTGCTCTGAATTGGTCAAGGTTGTGTTGATTAATTATCTGAATCTGAAGCTAGCCAATCCATGTATTGCTGAAATGCCTGAGGTCTCAACATATATTGCCTTGCAATAATCAATCTCCAGACCCATGCCAGCACGTGGTTAGGAAAAAGATTATGGCTAAGGGCCAGGGGTACAATTAGACGACGGCACGGCTAATCCCAAAGTGGTTGGATGTGAATTTTTGGCCAAGATTTTCGATCACCGACAATACTCCATGCAACTCCGGTCAAGCTCGGGATGGCTAAATTTGTGGGAGAAATAGCTTCTAAGCTTGCAATAATATTCTCTTGTATTTGGCAATTTTATATCAAGACATTTTATTTTATATATATTATGAAGGTGGCGATAGAGCAGGGGGGATTTGATTAAGCAGCAGAACATGCTGTGAAGAAGATAACGAAAATAATATCCAAAACTATGGTAATTTTCCTATCGCATATTGCTGATATAAATAAATATAGCTGAAAAACAGTGCATTAGTGGTTTCATGTTCGTGAACTTGAAGGAGAGAATTTGACGTGGCTGGTAAGGGTGTCTTGTTCCTTTGCATGGGGTGTTCCGTACGTCAGGGATGGATTCTAATAGCAGTTTGATCTACTTTTAATAGATAAAAAAGAGGCGTTGTATATAATTCTCAGGGTCCCTAGTTAAAGAGAAAACCCAATTTGATGATGATAAATCGTCTAATACTATTTCAATTGAGCTTCTTCTATCTAGGTGCTTTTGTTAGATGGCCTTTCTTTCTGAGCGAACATCTGAGGCAGAGACAAAGGTATGCGGGTCATCTTGTCAAAGGGCTGCCATTATCTGCATTGGCCGAACTCCAGCTTATGACATAGTCTTGATAACTTCTTTTTGCTTTTCTATACATTTACAATAGACATTATGAGCCATTGGGTTAATAGATAGGGCATGATTGTAAGGGGTGGATGTAAGCGTGATATCAAGATGGGGAGCAATAGGTTTAGATTTATGTCAAGACTGACGACTGAGGAAGTAAACTAAAAGGAATGCTGTGCGTAGCTTAAATACTACAGTCCCATAGAGCATATATGGCTCCCACAGAGCTTAAGTGCCACAGTCCCACAGAGCATGTGACTCACACAGAGCTTAAATGCTACAGTCCCACAGGGTATGTGACTCGCGGCCCCAGTGCAGCTGTCCCGTGCGCCAATTCCCTCTCTGTTCCTCACAATGATTGTGCTGCTTAACTTGGACTTCCAGTTTCCACTGATCGTTTTAGGTATCTTTAAAGATGAACAGCTTAAAAGGACACCCTATTGCACGTGTACTTATACTTAGAGTCTTTGCTGTTGACTTATAGACTCTAAAGCGGTCGCATTAATAGTAATATCATGTTTTAATATCAGAGTGGTGAGGCTTACTCTGTTTAAGTACAAAGCTGTACCTGTTTTGGATACCATGACTTTCGAGAGAGTTGTATGCTTCATCATAAGAGCTATAAATAGAGTCTGGCGGGGCAGGAATATCTTCTATAGTTGCTACTGGTAATTGAAGAATCTTTATAGATACAATTCATTGATGAAGTTGCCCCTGAAGCGCGGCGCGTTATTATGCGCTAAGCCGTTTATAGCGATTTAAATTACATTACAGCTAGCGGGGGGGACAAATCTCAAAGGGGGGACAAATCCCAGAATCGGGGGGTGTTGCAGGAATATCACATGATCTCCCGCATAAAAGACTCTTTTCTGTAAAGACAAACCAAAAATATACAACAACATACAAAATCACTATGAGAACACATTTTCACAAAAATACGTTCATATACATCATATTTTCACTTCCTTTTGCTTCCCTGAGCGCTGCACACCAGCAATCTCCAGCACTGCCTAGCTTAGGCTAGCCCCTCAGTGCGACAGGGGGACAAATCTCAGCAGCCAAAGTTGGTGGATTTTGGACCACGTGACGCTTGGTAATCGGCCGACACGCTGTCAGTCTATGCACGTGCCAATATCACGTGACATGTGGAAACACTGGCCACATAAGAGAGGAGAGCCAGGGGTAGGGGACCAGAGAACAATCATACAATCCATTAGTCTAGACACCATAGAATGAACTAGACAACCTTACGGTCCGACTTATGCATCATTCATCATTCCCGTGATCCTCCGCACGGACATTGACAGTTATGAGCCCGGCTAGCGACCAATACAGTGCTATACGAAGCGAGAAGGTGCAGCAGCATGCACGACCTGCAGGTTGAAGACACTGAGACCTGCATAATCAATCAAGCAGCACACCGCCAGAGCAATAACGATAACTACCGAGATATAAGTACAGACCTGAGCAAAGATGCCGGATCTTAAGCTCATCAATACTTTGCAAAAGCGAAAACTCGAAGCAATCATACCACACTCAACCTATGTAGCAATTGGGCAATCATCCGAGCTGAACAAACTCTTGACAACCCTCATACAAACCATAGCAGATATAACGAATACCATCAAAGTGAAAGAACAACTAGTCATCCTGAAGACTCAAGATGATTGGGACAAGTGGATCGAGCAGCTGGAAGGAATGGTTGCACCAACATTATGGAAGAAGTACATAGACCCAGACTCATCCAATCCACCAGCTATACCAACCCTTAATACGGAGGAACCAATCAAGTCAGCATACTCAGCCACCTATACTACAGTAGTTGATAGGGCAGAGGAGGACCAGACTGAACGGCCTGAATACAATCGAGTCCAATAAAACCTTACAAACAAGGAGAGAGAAGAGTTCAGGTTCGACCTTGAGGTCTACACTCACAAAGATTTGCCCAAGTTCAAGGCTGAAGAGCGAGAATATATTGAAGCAGCTCAAGTCATCCGACAGACATGTGATGATACAGCCAAACTATACTTAAAGGCAAAAGACCCACTCCGTACACAAGTTCAGAAGTTGCAAGATGTTTATCAAGGCGACCCAGCTCTACGAAAGCGACGCGCGAGAGAGGCGTACAATGCTGTTATCAGGACACCAGTGACAGCGAAGACAATCACATCTTGGGTGTCTAAGTGGCAGGAGGCAATGCTTCAAGCTGAAGCAGTTGGCCTACCACATGCACTAGACTATGAGCAGTGGTCAAGTGACCTACTGGCTGCAGTTGGTGATCTGGTCCCGAGCACAGTAACTCGGATCCTCCAGACCACAGCTGGAAATGGTGATCTTGAGACCTACCGCGATGTGGTGCAGGCAATTCAATCAGAGTGCAGCATTCGACTCTCTATAAGACCTACCCAATCTGGAGTAAGGCGTGGAGCGTTTGTGTCTGTAGCTGCTGAGGCTGAATCTGAAGGACCTGATCAATCCAAAGATCTGCCATCAAGACCTCAAACCAAGGCGGGTGGAAATGAGATGAAAGACACCGATCAGGCACCTTTGGTGGCTGTTGGGGGTGTGGCCAGAAAGGTCACACGCTCGAAGGCTGTTTCTTCGTTGACCCAAAGAAGAGGTCAGAAGAATGGAAGCCACT